CAACATCTTGGCTTGTCCAGATTGGTGCTGGAGTCCCATTAGTGGGAAGGAATATCACACCCCTCCTGCCATAAGCTGGACCAGCTGGGAGGTAGAGACCCTGGTGCCATTCTCACACAGAGGAGGAAGCTGGGGACAGATGCCATCCTCTCCTCTTCCCCAAACCTCACCTCCAGCATCATCAGTCCAAGGCAGTACCTGTACATGGGCGATGTATTCATTCTAAGGACAGAACAGGGGAGCAGGGCACCCCTCACCCCCAACCTAGACTACCTGTCCTCCAGGCCAGCAGTGTCCAGAGGAACCTGTGGCAAAGCACATGGGTCACAAAGCTGAGAACAGGGCTCTGTGCCTCCAGCAAGCCAAATTAATGGGCTAGGCAGTGTTTGTCTCCAGTCTCTCACATCTTTCCTTGTTGCCCCAGGCTCCAGATTCTCACCACGACACAGAATGACAGAGCACGAGGACTTTGCAAACTTGGCTCAGTACTGGAACTCCTCCGACAATTACCAGTTCAGCCCTACCAGGGTCATTGTCCCTGTGGTCTTCTCCCTCATCTTCGTCCTGGGCACAGTAGGCAACAGCCTGGTGCTGGCTGTGCTGCTGCACAATGGGCAAATGGGCCACAACACCACCAACCTCTTCATCCTCAACCTCAGCCTGGCCGACTTCTTCTTCATCGTCTTCTGTGTGCCTTTCCAGGCCACCATCTACTCGCTCGAGGGATGGGTCTTTGGCTCCTTCATCTGCAAGGCTGTCCACTTCTTCATCTACCTCACCATGTATGCTAGCAGCTTCACTCTGGCCGCTGTCTCTGTGGACAGGTAACAATCTCCAGGTGCCCTTGGGCTGGGGAAGGAAAGCAGTCTGAGTGGGCTGTGAGGGCATGGGAAGATCATGGCACACCACTAGGCAGAGGGTTCAAGCCCCAGTGGTATCAGTCCATGCCATGAACAGGAGTCTGACACTTCAGCAATTCACCTACCTGGAGATGCCAGCATTCCCTGGCTGGAATGAGGGGGGTCATTCAGAATCCCTAACAAAAATATCCCAGTCCTCTGGGACTCCTATGGTTACACAGTTTGGCTGGTGTCACAATGAAGACCCAAGATAGTCTAAGCCTCTCTGGCCCAAGCTCAGGCACATAACCCACCCCACCATAACTGGAGAGAGGAGCCAGCCATGGCCAGGAGATGCATCCTTGCTAGAAAGAAAAAAAAAGCTATTTTACCCAGGACTGTATTTCCAAGAGGGTGTGAGATAAAATGTAGGGTCCTGCACAGGGACCTCCAGGAGAATGAAAGAAGTTTATGTGTCCAGGAGTTTATGTGTCCAGGCAGAGCTTGGCTGAAACCTCAGTGCTGGTTGCTTTTCTCTCCCCTCCAGGTACCTGGCCATCCGCTATCCGCTGCGCTCCCGGGAGCTGCGCACCCCCCACAATGCAGTGGCTGCCATGGCTGTGATCTGGGGCCTCTCCGTGGTCTTTGCTGGGCCCTACCTAAGCTACTATGACCTGATTGAGTGGGAGTCCAGCTACATCTGCATGCCTGTCTGGGAGGAGTGGAGACGTAAGGTCATGGACACCAGCACATTTGCCTTTGGCTATGTCATCCCAGTACTGGTCATCAGCCTCTCCTACACCAGGACCATCAAGTTCCTGTGGACAGCAGTGGACCCCCTGGAGGACATATCAGAGTCCAAGAAGGCCAAAAGGAAGGTAACCAAGATGATCATCATTGTAACCATCCTTTTCTGCCTGTGCTGGCTGCCCTACCACGTAGTCATCCTCCGATACCTCTATGGAGACTTCCCCTTCAACCAGGCCACCTACGCCTTCCGCCTGCTCTCCCACTGCATGGCCTATGCCAACTCCTGCCTCAACCCCATCGTCTATGCCCTGGTCTCCAAGCACTTCCGCAAGGGCTTCAAGAAGGTTTTCAGCTGCCTCTTGAGGAAAAAGCACCGCAACAAGGTGCATCTGGTGCACGCTGCCCACACTGTACCTGGATTTGAGGCAGGTTCCACTGAAGTGTCCCAGATGCATGAGGGGATTAACAGGTACGAGCTGAACCCAACCTCCATGGCAGCCACGGGTGGGTCCTCCAAGCCTCTTCGTGTTTCTTAGTGACCAAGCTCCATACCATCTGCCAGCTTGGCTGTGCCACCAGCTTCAGGCCACACTTTCCCACCAGGGTGAGAAGATGCTGGAAAGGCAAGCCAGAAACTGCTAAATGCTATTTCTGGCCTTGTTGTTCCTTCCTATTCCAAGCACCAACTGTTCTCCTGAGCCGTGTTCCCACCACACGCTGCATGCAAGGGATCCAGGCTTCCCCCTGATCCTCAAACCACCTGGACACCAAGACCTAAAGCTTCAGCTCCTCCATGGGTTATTATCCAGCAGAACTCCTCTGCTCTGCAGCCACACTGCTCTGGACACACTGATCAGTTGTCACAGAGTCCCTTCTGCCTCCCAGTGCCATCCCTGGCATGACTGGCTTCCACAGCAGGAAAGGCAAGGGAGAAAGACAGTGCAAATGTGGTGTGGGAAGTGCCCAGCACAGCCTGTGGGTGGCTGCAGGGATGGGTTTGGTGCTGGTGCATTTTTCTCCCAGTGACTGGGTCCTCCTCTAGGATGTGGGGCAGGCCATGTGCTCTCTGCATGTGGGGGATGTTGCTGCTGTACTAGACATGTCTTTCTAACCCAGAAATAAACAGACTTCCCTCATGCAGGAATAGTGGGGCCTGCAGTGGTCACCTGGGGTGGGGATGGGCTAACTCCCAAACCTCAGCAGGGCCTTTGTCCTAACTGGTATAAATCACAGTGCACCATGAAAACCAGCACTGAGCAAAGTCTCTGGCCCCAAACGTCAGCAGGGCCTTTGTCCTAACTGGTGTAAATCACAGTGCACCACGAAAACCAGCACTGAGCAAAGTCTCTGGAGCCTGGTAGTCCTTACTCCTTTCTGCACAGCCATCCTGACACAGGTCCCTCTGCAGGTCAGTACACAGCAGATAATCTTCTCCCAAGACAAATGACCTCGACTTGCCACAGCCAGGAGTCTAATGTCAAAGCATAAAAGCAGCTTTACCTGGTCACCACTTCAGAGGTCCTGTGGACAGGCAAGGAGCCAGAGGGCAGAGGCAGGGATGGACAGACAGTTCAGTTATGGTTCCTTCTGCCTGCATGGCACACTCTGAGGGGATCAAGGAGGCTCATTCTCCATGCTCTTCAGAGCATCTGAATCTCCTCCCAGGATCTAAGGATGCAGTTGATCCCATGGAGCTTCAGGAAGGGAAACTCATCTCCAGGGCTGATTAGGTACAAGTGAGTGCCTTCCTGCCATTGCTAAATCACAGGAGATCATAGAATCATAGCATATCTTCAGTTGGAAGGGACCTACAAGGATCATTGTGTTCAGTTCCCTGCTTCTTGTAGGACCACCTAAAACTAAACAGTGTTTAGGAAGAACCTTTTCCTAATGTCCAACCATAATATAGCTTCCTTCCTTCTCTTGTCCTGCCACTGGTCACCAGAGAGATAAGATCACCACCCCTCAGCCTGCCTTACACACTCAGGTCAATTCACACTTGAACTACACTTCAAATCATAAGCAAGCTCAGATAAAGGAAATGGAAAAACATGTTAATAGCCATTAGAGACCAAAAAAAAGGGATATAAAATGGTTAGGAAGAAAATAAACCAGGAGAATAACAAGCTCTGAGATTCAAAAGGCTGTTCCTAATGGTGGAGAACAGGCCATGAGTCACTTTAAGTTTGGCTGTTTGCTCTGACTGCTTTTCACTATTTTTATTTTCTAAAGATGACAGGCAGAACACCTGAAGTGAAAAGAGCTCCAAGAAGTACCTCTATTTTGGGAATTCTGATAGAAATCAAACTAGCTGCCTGCCAAAAACCATGGGGAAGTTGCAGCAAAGGCACAGCACAAAGGGGAGCTCCTACACATGGTGCCCCAAAGGGAAACATCACCAAGCTGGTTAGAACAGGGCTTGACCAGGTTCCTCATTTGTATTGATTCTCAGGACAGGTGGCTTAGTGTACCTGAGCTGCAGCCAGAACCACAGGGAACAAAACCATGGACAGGCCCCATGTGCCTGGGCCACTGACAGTTGTTCTCAAAACCTTCCCAGAATGGTCTCCTTCAGCTTTTCCATCAGTTTGGTTTTTAGTGCCTTTGTAAATCAAAGCCCATGGACTTCATCTTACTGACTAGAGGGGGAGAAAAGCTATCACCTCCACACTGCAGTAATGACCACTCTGTGTGAGGACTTCAGCTTCAAAACAATTATGAGGACAGAACAAAAAGAACCCCAGTTCAATTAACCTTCCCTCACTTACCAGACTTGCTTTTAGGTTTTTGCTTGTTCTGCCTCTCTCACTCTGCCACAAGACTAATAACACTCATCACACAGGCATTGCACAGTTTTTCTGCAGTGCCACAGCATCTGCCTGGTCACATATGGGTGCTGTCCTTGGCTCATGCAGTCACTCAGAATAATTTTCTACCTGAAATGCAAAGGGATATGCTGTCTCAAATCCATGTGCCCAAGAACACCACACACCACAGAGCAGCTTCCACCAGTGAGCCCTGGGACACAGAGGTCTCTCTGGCTACATGCTGGGAGAACACAACTCACTCTCCCCCTCCACAGCAGGCAGCTTTCTATGCACCAGGAAGAGACAGGGGTTAGAGCCTGGCAAGGGTGGGGAAAGTTTAAATCATAGATTACATTGTCCAGTAAATTTGAGAGATCCAAATCTGAGACCCCCCAAGCAGAGTGCACCCTGGACTCCAACAGACTCTGCAGTTGCTGCTTTCTGAAGGGCAGCAGTGGCACCCAGGAGAGGAAGGAGACTGCATTTGTCAGGTTATTCACAGATGTCTTACAGTGGTGAATAACCTGACAGATCTCATTTCTTCCTGATGTGCAGGAAGGTGAGCAATTTTCTTGAGCTTCTTTGTCATCCTGATCTATGTTCCTGAACAGGATGAATTCACTGTCACGAGCTTCTTTGTCATCTTTATCTACGTTCCTGAACAGGATGAATTCACTGTCATCCAGAGTTAACAGTAACACCCAAGATGTGCCCAGGCACTCAGACAGATGAGTACAGCACCCACTCCAACCCCAGTCCCAGCAATGAGCCACAGCAGAAGCAGGGTGACCCTGCTGTGGGAACTCACCTAAACATGGGGGTCAAATTTTGGTTGTCCTGGGGACAGAGCTCACATAGCTCTGTTATTACCTGGGGTTTCACCCCTGAACTGGCTGGAGCTCTCTGGTTTTGCTCTGTGTGTGATGGTTTGGGCAGACACACAGCGTTCTTCCCAGGTGAAAGACCATTTGCTTTCCCTGACTGATAGTGAATGGCTTGCAATTATCTTAATTACACCTCTCTCTCCTAATGCCAGGCAGAGAGCAGCACTAATTCAAGTGCACTGGCATAGACACGCACCAATATTTAGTTGTGTGGCTCAGACAGGGACCTGGCAGCACCTTAATCAGTGCAGTGGTGGCACAGTCAGGGAGATGTGAGCCCCAGAGAGCTCAGATGGGTCAGTAAGGATGTGAGCAGGCAGATGTCTCCCTCGAGCCTGTCTTCCACAGGGGCTGGGCTGCAGCCTCCATGCCTCCCTCTCCATCCGTGAGCAGGCAGATGTCTCCCTCCACAGGGGCTGGACTGCAGCCTCCATGCCTCCCTCTCCATCTGCCAATATATCCCATGTGTAAATGCTGTGACTGGAGAGCCTGTAGCATGACCTGGCATCAAAATAATATAGTCTGTGTTTCCAGACAGGTGTCACAATGCCTCCAGATGCCTTCAAGAGCAATGAGTATCAATCTAGGCAGAAATAATGGCTCCATCTGCTCTTACAGCAAGTCCATCCTTCCTTGCTGACCTAGAGCATTCAGCTTTCAGAGAGCAATAATTTCATTTGGATGAATAATCCTCTAAGTCAATGGAAAAAGGAGTTGTGCTGGGGATCCCAGGGTTGTTACTCTGCTTGACATTTCTGGCTGGACACACAATTTCTTTACAAACCTGCGTTCAGTGGGTGAATTGGGTTTAGTTTCAAGGCCCACATGAGACTGCCATATACAGACATCTTGCCCTCTGACCACCTCATTATAACTTCATCTTCATTAACATCAAGATGAGCAGGTGAGAGCTGGTCCCACATCTTCCACTGCCTCTGCCACCACCCGGGACTGAGCACAGGAGACACATTATCCTCAAAGGATAATGCCACCTCAACCCACCCATGCTCCTCTTCACCTCAGTAGCCACAGGTTCACATGGGACCTGCCCCTTCTTGCAAAGCCAGCAATAGTTAAGCTCATTCCTTGTGCTGGGACCTCCATACACCACTCTCCCTGCAAGACTGAGCCAAAAGCACCTTCTCAGCCCTACAGTCATGGACTGTGACTGCCTGAAGTTCACACCAACTTGCACTACTGCATCAATAAAGGGATCTAAATGGAGTCCACTGGACAGGCTACATTTGTGGGCTGGATGCTGGATCAGGCCCTCCCAGTGCAAGGCATGTATTTCAAGGGATATTTTAACACAAATTGTTTAGTGCACTCCAAAAGATTGATGCACTGCAGTCAGTTCATGCCAACAGCTTTGACATGAGAAATATTTTCCATTAGGGAATATTCTCCATTAGCACAATTACTTCACCCTGTGCTCAAGCTATGCCCTCAACTGTTATTGCCCAAAACCCAGAAACAAGACTCCTGTCAACAAGAGAGAGACCTCACAAATAGCAGCAGCAGGACCTAGAGGAAACACACAGGCCCCTGCCCCAGGCCCACGTGGAGCAGGCTGAAGGTTCTCCCATCTCACATTACCCTAGTACCTGTCAGTGGCATTGCCCCTGAGAAGCACCCACGGGATGTCTGAGCAAAGGGACTGCACCCCTCAGCACAACCCCACGCAGCAGGGACTCTGCTAGGGCAGCCAACTCCTGCCCCCAGCCTGGCACAGCCTGCCCCCTCGGACACAGGGATGGAGCTGGAGCAGTGTCTGCACGAGGCTGCAGAGAGACAGAGCTGTTTACAGATCTGCTAATATTAGAACATGACGTAGCTTGCTGCTAATGAAGTGTTCATCCTGACTTTGTGCTAGGCAGCGCAATCCTGGTCCTGTGTCCT